CGTTTTGATTGCCAGTAATCGAAATCGCTAGCCAAAGTTGGAACCCTGAATATTACCATTATCAGAATGAAAATGCAAGTGTACCAAAGATGCATACGTTTATAAATATTTTGAAAATTTGTCTGTCACATAGTTATATAAGAAGTGGCGAGATTGTGTTGCGCAAAAAAAAAATAATAATGTGCAACGTAAAATCCACAAAAAAAAAGAAAGAAAGAAAGCGGCCCATTTTGAAAATCAACATTCAAAATCTTCAGTCTTACCGCGGTTGGAACACCGACTGCAACTATTAAAAGTACAATTGCAACTTTCTTAGTAGGTCCTTAACTTCTATATGATGCTACCAAATCTCACTCGCAGACACACGCTTATTATCTTATAAAATTTTAAGCAACAATACTTAACTATGTTAAAAGCTATATCATGCATCCACACACACACACACATATATATATATATATATATATATATATATATATATATGAATACAGATACTTCAGCATAATACAACTCAAACTGGCACTGAGAAAGTCAAGAGAGTCACATTGCAAACTGCACTATATTAACTACAGCGTGGGTAAGAAAAGCGGATTGGTGTAATAATCAGGAAACGAGTTACGCTTCTTACCACTTCTGCGCTCGGAAAGAAAGAAAGAAAGAAAGAAGGCAAGAAGTAAAAATAAACAGTGGAAAATAGTGAAAGCGAGTTGCATCAACGTTACTCTCAGCTCTGGAGACGATCGGAGCTTCTCGGATGCGGAACCCATGCCGACTATCAACAGCGGTTACTTCTAAACGACGCTAGCGTATCTCCTCACCTAAACTGTCTTTGGTGAGTCCCTTTCTTTTGTTGAGTAATTCTTCTTCGTCTTTTCAGCAATTCTGATGACAGCGAGACATGCAGCTTGGCCAACCATCCACCTCTTCATTCATTCATTCATTCAGCCATCGAAACAGCCTTTCATTGATTCGACCGCTTATTCGTCCACTTATCATTCAACTTCTTCACTCACTCATTCGTTTGTTATTACAACTTTTACTAGAAGTATCAAGATTAACAGGTTAGTTTCAAAGTACTTCGACGGCGGTGACAGTATCTAAATATCTTTACCTTTTACTCTGCGCCCACAATTCTTTCCAAAGTGTTCACGTTTTTTTTTTTTCGTTTTTTTTGTTTTTTTAGAGAAACTTGTCCAAAATTAAAGTTTTATGCATCCTGAGCTCTCTCACCATTTTTTTTTTTTACTAGAGATCAAGTGATAACAAGACTCCTCCTACACTCTTTTCTGTATTATCATGATTAAGGATGTTTCTTCTTCTTCTCCTCTTCTTCTTCTTCTTGTAATAATGATAATAATAATGGTAATAATAATAAATGATAAGCTAATCGAATAGACACTACTAAAAACAGAAATAAATGCCTTCTCATAGATATGTCAATGCCATCAAATAAATATATACGTCTTAAAGAAATGACAAAATAAATAAATGCAAGGATCTTGAAATTGAAAATGAAAAACAAATATGGCACCACCTTTAAACTACTATTCTGCCTATAATAATTGGAGCCTTGGATATGATAAAAAAAGTTAAAGACAAGGACATTAACAAAATTCCTGGCAGCTTCTGCTTACAAGAGATTCAGAAAAAAAAATGCACTCTGTTATGTGCTGCTCATCTGCTCAGGGGAGTCTTATCAATTTAAAGAAAATATAAACATTGGACATGTTAAACATCGCTTAATATAAAAATGTGTGCAAAAACAATGCAGACATTTACTACCTTCCCTTACCCCAGCAGGTCTCAGGTAAAATTACCCGGTGAGAAATTGTACCGAATAAAAAAAAGAAAAAGAAAAAAAAAAGAAAAAGATAATAATAATAATAATAATAATAATAACCGGAGATCCGAAAAAAAAACTATGAAGATTCTTGAAATTACTGTGGTGTTTGAGAATAGAGGAAAAGTTGGAGATTTGAGGAGATCAGTGTTGCCACTTTACCCCCCCCCCCAAGTGCCAACAATCGTATACACCTGATGGGAACTCGCAACAGCTTTAATAAAAAAATAATAATAATGTTGTTGTATGTTCACTCCCACTACCAGCCAAACGTATCGCTAGAGACCAAGTGGCAACATATCCTCTCGAACCTCTTGTCTCTTATTCAATCCTCTTACCTAAATCAGTCATCCTCTGCTTCTTCCGACTCCAAAGTTACTTATCTCAATAAGTAGGAAATCTTTATTGTTTTTGCCGTATTGAGCAGTATAATATGTAGAACGTTATTGTTGTTAAGCCAAAACGATTTCTTATATTAAGAAATTAGTGTCATCTACAAATTGAGATGCTTTCTGCCTTGTTTTGTACATCTTCACCGCAACAGTAACTGATGGACATCATTGGGGGGACAAAGTGCCGCCTAAAATCTTGGGTCATTTTCTTAATCCCCTCACAGAACATTCAGCTGTATGTTTTCAATCCTCTCTCTCTCTCTCTCTCTCTCTCTCTCTCTCTCTCTCTCTCTCAGATAATTCCACTAAGATATCATCTCCATTTTGTAAGTCCCGGATACTCCACAGACGATGGGTACTACCTCCCTGAGATAACTGTTGTTCTTAACGAATAACAAGATTTATGCGTTTAGTTATTTTAATATAAATGTTATTAATTATATTTATTTAATTGTTTCAATCGATTTAAAGTCTCTAAAATGAGACAATTTAAATAAGAAATATTTTATATTACTGCACTGGTTAAAACTGTTGGGTTACTGCAAAAGGTGGTGGAGAGTTGAAGAGACTTGATGTCGCCTGACCTCCAATAATAGTAATAAAAAAAAAACACTGGTTGTCGTAAAAAAAAAAAAAAAAAAAAAAAAAGATCGTCAATTCAACGATTTTGGGAAAACTCAGATTAAACGTGAAGGAAAGTGAAAAATTGACAAGTATCTTGACCTGGCCGGAAAGCTGAAGAAATTGTGAGATATGAAGGTGACAGTCGTACCAATAGTTATCGGAGTGCTAGCATAGGGTCTTGGAGAGCGTAAGAAATAGATCGGAAATCAGAGGGGGAAGTTCGGTTCACTCGAACGGCAACATTTAAGAAAACATCCACAACACTAAGAAGAATGTTGGAATATTAAGGAGACTTATTGTCACTTGATCTTCAGTGTAAAACTTCGTATAATAATAATAATACTCTTAATTTGTAGATGTTGGTGATTCAATAAACGTCAAAATAAAATTGAAATAAATGAATATATATATATATATATATATATATATATATATATATATATATATATATATAATATTGCTTTTCAAAATTATTACTCATTTTAAATTTTCCTAAATTATTGAATGTCTAACAAAAATATTTGCATTATTAACGGGCAGCACATTACATATATGTGCAATTTATAGAAACAATATGTCACTCTTACGATGTGGTAACAGTCTTATAAATTTTATCAGATTTTCTGTTTCACATTTTTAGTCAAATTGCATGAACTACAAGAAAGCCGATGGTGTAATTAAAAATTATAATTGTGCTATGTGCATCAAGTTCACAAAGACATTTTTTAATGATTTCAAAAAAAAAAACATAGTAATGATGACAACGTTGTAAAGACAATATTAAACTGTTAAACTGAAATGTATGTTCAATGATCTGAAAAAAATTATAAGTTTTTCACCTTCATTAATTTTGTGATCAGTTGCATTTATTCCTATTAAAAAGAGACTATACAAAATCCAGAATAGCATTCTAATGTTCATCATTACTTGTAAATTGCCACTCGTTAATCAAAACGTTGTTCTTCAGAATGTTCCCGAATTGGTTTAATATCAGACGAACAAGTCTGTCACTTCACCAAAAGATTGTCTTTGAAATCCATTTTATTAAGATATTTCTTTTCCTCGCCGAATATGATTGAACATTGTCGTTCATTAAAAACAATCTTCTTTCTGAAAGTTTTTGGATTCTTCTTAAACCACAGCTCTATGTGCGCCTTCAAAAATTCAAAGTATATTCAAATTATCATTTTAATACAGCCTAGAACTCATCATGCACCTACCACTGCATGAAACATAATTCATATTCAAAGCATCCTTGCTGATTTCTCAAACTGAGAGGTCAATTTCCGCCAGTAGACTTTGCTCCAAGTATGAAACATCAAGGATAATATCGAATAAAGTCGATCAAGAGAATCATTCTTCTATATTCTGTTATCGATTTCATTCATTTTTACTAATGAGACCTAGTGATCATTTAACACGTGCTTTGATTTAGGATTTGATATCATGACGAACTATTTCTTCATTTCCTCGAAGCCACAACGGGTAAAGATTTCATAAGTTAATTAAGACAGATTACTTTATGCCTTCTCTCTCCGATTTATGCGTTTCACAAAACGGAAAGAAGAAAACCTCAATTCGCCTTTATCCGCGACTTGCATCAGAATTTTATTAAGGATATTCGATGAACTTTTTTTACAGTTCCATGCTTCCTGCCGATCAGTTTTTTCCATTTCCACCATTATTAACTTTGGAAAGTTCTAAAGTTACTGACTCCCCCACCACACACACACACATACACGTGCACACACACACACACACACACACGCACACACACACTTGTATATATAATAAATATAAAACACACACATGCATATACAGACACACACACACATGCATATATAATGTTTAAAATTTTGTCTATTTATAAGCTAAGTGCTGAATAGCAATGCTAGAGCATTATAAATTCGACAGCGTGGACATAGTATCAACACTGTATGGTGACTATTAATTTCAATCCACAATGCATTGTGACCTTTTGACCAAGACTAAAGATTTGGTCAAAAGGTCACAAGTTGAAACTGACTCTCACCATGTAGTGAAGTTTCCTAAGTCTGCACCACCTACCCCCTCTCTCTCTTTTTCTGTATGCATGTCTTTCTGCCTTTCTGTCTGTATCTCTCTCTCTCTCTCACTCTCTCTCTCTAGATGATTTCATAGACTATGCTCCGTTTACTTTGGAAAAAGTAATTTCTATCGCAACTGTATAGATAGATAGATAGATAGATAGATAGATAGATAGATAGATAGATATAAACTGACTGAAAATATAGATAGATAGATAAATAGATACATAGATGGACAGACAGACAGATTGGAACAGATAGATATATATGAACAAACTGAAAAGTTAGATAGATAGATAGATAGATAGATAGATAGATAGATAGAGAGTGAGAGAGAGATTGAAACAGATAGATAGATATATGAACAGACTGAAAAATAGATAGATAGATAGATAGATAGATAGATAGAGAGAGAGATATTGAAACAGATAAATATATATGAACAGACTGAAAAAATAGATAGACAGATAGATGAGAACAGACTGATTTTTATCGTCGTAAAGTCGAAAGATTGTTGTTCGTTTAAGTGTATAAATAGTCCATGTGCATCAGTACTGTGGAATTAACTGCAATCCAAACATCCACAGACATACAGACACACACATATGCACATGCCTGATATTATGCATACTATAGATATCAACATATATATATATATATATATATATATATATATATATATTCAGTTGTATGGAAATTAGTTTGCGACCCTAGATTTCACCCTTTTGTGATCATCAGACATGTGTGTGAGAGTGTCATCCCAAACAAACACAGAAGAAAATTTCCCCTCCCACTACCAAGTATAATCAACACATACAAGCATAAATAGATCCATTTTTAAAAAAATAAACCAGTTAAATATTGTCTGATGATCACAAAAGCGTGAAACCTAGGGTCATAAACTAATATCCATGTAACGGAATATGTTATCTCTATCACTGATATTGAGCACTTTCTACTAAGTACTGCGCGCACACACACACACACACACACACACACACACACACATATATATATATATATATAGAGAGAGAGAGAGATAGAGAGACATATGGGTATCTATTTTATTTTTTAGGAGTACGATAATCACTAATCAGCGTCCTTGTAGATGTAATGTTCTCGCACTTAGTTTACATGTTCGCGTTTAGCTTTTTCCAAAATCACATTTCGTAATCTTTTTTTTTGTTTTGCTATCATCGAATAAGTGGTAATTTTCAAAGCAACCTCCAGTTTAGTGTGTTAGCCTTTCCATACACACGCATGCACATGTGTAATTGTGTGCATAAGAAAATAAAATATCGCCCCATATATAAACGCCACTTAAACAGTGACTCATTCAATAAAGAGACTCTTTTTAGAAAACATTCAAGACATCAAGTGTGTTTCATATTTTATCTCAACTTCTCCGAGGTTAATCCCAGAATAATTGATATTTTGTCTCTCTTACATATTTTCATTTCGAAAGGAAGAAAAAAAAAAAAAAAAAAAAAAAAAAAAACCGTCCAATATAATTAGCAAGTAAAAAAAAATAATTTTAAAGAATCTAATAAATAAATTTATATCTGAAGTATAATTTTCGGTTTGCTTTAGGGTGCTTTATGTTACCCGATCCCCGAAAAATCAAAGACTATACGACTGAAATCGAAGATGATATCGACTTAAAACCAGCAAATATAAGGAAAGCAGTATGAAAATTCTGTAGAATAATTTTAGCTTAATCTATAATTATCAAGAAAGAGATTTTGTAGAAAAATTTCAAAACCTTATTAAGTTTTCAAAGTCTATTTTGATGATACGAACAACAACAACAACAACAACAACAACAACAATAATAATGTGACAGTGGCAGTCACACCTACTGTTGTTCAGATTTGATGGGACGCTCATAAAAGGCCCCGTAAAAAGAACGGATGAATTTGAAATCCAACGAAGAATGGAGCCCCGTATTAGTGAGAAAGGTATTGGCCTAGTGAGTAGACTTGACACTTTATATCCAATATATCTGCCATCATTTAATGCTGACGTTAAAACTCTACGACTGCAGTCTTAATAACTGTGGTAGTTCTGATTTTGAACACAGAAAAGCGACAACGATAATAATTCAAAATATGACATTTTGAAAGTTTGGGAAGGACTACCAAACAAATTCAACTGCCAGTGACCATTGGAGAACTGAGATGTACCAAAAAATAAAATAAAATAAAATAAAATAAATTGAAAAATAAAAACATGAAAAATACCTGGCAGATTGTGATTTATAAATAGAGCCCCGACAAAACGCTTGCTTGCTCAGAATAGCGAGAAGATTTCGGAAAGTATTGGATACAGACTCTCTGTTTATTTACTTAAATCACAAAAGGTGACCTGACAATAAACTTTTAACAGCTAACAAAATCATATGTTATGCGAAAATGACACATTAATTTGGAGGTTTTTAAATGTTTAACTTAAAAATTCCAACTTTACAATTCACAGAATAAGATGCGTTTATGAGAATCTGTGTCTAGTGGAACATCGGACATGATTTATCAATTACTATTTACTGTCTGGTATAATTTTCAAAACCAACTTTATAACAAGGACATTATTAGAGAATGCTTGGCGCTATACACTCTGTTTAAATAAATAACGCTGAGACTGTCAAGAAAATTTAGTTAAAAACAATAAAGAAATCAGACACTTGCTTGGATTTTTGGAGATCTTTTGCCTCGGGATATTTTACCCTTTCTGCTTTCGTTTCCCTTTAAAGGAAATGATACTTAAACGATCGAAAAGAAAAAAAACCGGAGGCGATACACGGAGGCTTTTTATATATAAAAAAAAAAAGGTACCTAAATTACTTCAGGATTTTAAAAGGCGTTCCCTTATATTTGAAGCGAACAAAGCCCCAAAGGTAGTATATCCTGAGAGGAAAAGTAGATGTGGGTGGAAAAAAAAGTTACTCTAATTCTGTAGCAACGCAAGGAAATGAAAGAAATAAACTGACCCCTGTCACGTGCCTTTCGTCTGACTGAAACATGGAAATGTATAAATTCTGTGTTAGTTTTTCGACAGCTTGATTTCTTTTCTTAGCTTTCACAGATGAATTTTTATTTCTGACACAAACTGACTCTACTTCGGGATTGATAAGACAGACAACTGATATTTTCGTCTGCCGAAATAGACTATTCCCCATATGAGGTGATTTGGGATTTTATGGTTTATTAATTATTTACTCTGTAATTGTAAATAAATTGAACTCTTTTTGTGTAGCAGTTTAATATTTTATATTACTAGGATCAACTTGGATTATATACCAACGGATTTGTTACCATTACTATATCTATCTATCTATCTATCTATCTATCTATATATATATATATATATATATATATATATATATATATAATTTATTTGTTTAAACGTTATTTCCAGTGGATGCACATATTTGAATAGATAGTTTTGTTACAAAAATATTCGCTCTTCGGCATATTTTTTTACAATATTTCTCGGATATTCAGGCTGGTAGATGTAAATAAATAAACTGCTTAATAATAAAAACAGATCATTTGCTCAAATATGAGTATCCATTGAAAATAACATTTAAACAAATAAATTAAAAATATGTCGGACATTATTCCATTTCCTAATATATATATATATATATATATATATATACAGAGAGAGAGAGAGAGAAAGAGAGATATATAGATATATATATATATAGATATAGATAGATAGATAGATAGATAGATAGATAGATAGATAGATAGATAAAAGGTCTGAAGATTGCATTAAAATATGAACAGACTGTCGCCACCTGGTAGTGTGGTCAAGTGCCCATTTACACACACATTTATATATATATATATATATATATATATATATATATATATATATATATATATATATATAATTAGATAGATGCAGACAGCGTGGATATAGTTTTCAAACACTATATGGTGACTTAGTTTCACGCTTCAGTACAACCTGCAGACCAATGTTATTAATCTTTAGTGGGTTATATATAAAGCGGGCTGTGAGTGATTGAGTCGGGAGGCGACACAAACCGTTTTATATATATATATATATATATATATATATATATATATATATATATATATATATATATATATATATATATATCTGTGTGTGTGTTATTTATATATATTATTTATTTATTACATATGTGCGGTACTTATTGAAAAGTGCTCAATATCAGTGATAGAACTAACATACATAGTTGCATTGACAGCTGAAGATATATATACACATATATATGAACTATTCTGATTCGAACATATATATATATACATATTATAATAATAATATACTTCTAAGTTATGCTATATTTACGGCTTGAAATGCTCAATATCAGGGATAGAGCATATGTAAATATCAAAGTGAACATTGGTGCCAACACAATCTGTTTCATATTTAAATGCAATCGTCAGGCTATATGCGTTGTGTTTAAGCATAAAACAGATATTGTCCACTTTTATCTCTCTCTCTCTCTCTCTCTCTCTCTCTCTTGTATATATTGACAAATTGAATATGACAACAAATAAATTGATATGTCTTTTTAAAAATTGTTTACCCAATACAAGGTCAAAGACTCATTCAATGTAAAGGGTCATTGAATGAAGTTGGTGTATGCAGAAGGGGTAAGAATGGTAGATTATGAGGATATGTACGAACGATAAAGGCTGATTTTAGACTTGAAGACCTTATGATTTTGGCCATGCATTAAAGTAAACGTTCTTTAATAACGACAGAAAGAAAAATAGGAAGAAAGAGGAGCGAATGTGTATGTGTGTGTGTGTGTGTGCGTGAGAGAGAGAGAGAGAGAGGAGAGGTGACGGTGAAATAGAGTAAGTCTTGTCGTCGGTCGTTGTAGCTTTCGGCTATTCTTCCTTTCCAAATATTTCTCAATATTCTCATGTCTATTCCTTTGGTAGACGAAAAAGCCGACGACCCTTCCATATAGAATTCATCGACACAAGTTTCATTTGATCTTTGGAGCCGAACGCTGACCGATTTAGAAAATTAGTGTCTAATGTTGACCGATTTAGAAAATTAGCAAATGAGATATTTTTTTCTTCAGGACGTCGTGGAAAATTTCGCCACAGCAGGAAAAGATAATTCCATTAATGAAAAAATATATTTCTAAGTCTATGTCGCAAATGGAATTTCATTTGATCTTCGAGATTTGTTTTCGGAGTTGTAAAAAAGGATCTTGGAAGTAAGGAAGAAATATTTTATGAGTTCATTTATTGATTTTTCTATTTCTAAATTGATTTTTGGTCACTTTTCACAGTTTACTTTTATTCCAAGATTTCAAACGCAAAATTTCAAAACCTACAATTAAAATTTTGGATTGTTCCATCTTTGATGAATGTTGAGTATTCACTTTTCCACTAAGAGCGTTACCAACATGACAACCTCATAGCTACTATCATTATAGTTAAATAAATCATTGTTTGCAGTCTAAGGAAGAACATCGCATTATTACGAAATGCCTGTGGTCATGATATTTTGGTTCATCAATATATATATATATATATATATATATATATATATATATATATATATATATATATATATATATAAGTGAACATAGAATTCAACACTCACAGGCGGCAGTCTGTTTCATGCTAGATGCAATCGTCAGGCCATGAGTGCTGTTATTTTTCTCAGGTATTTATATATACGGGTCAGTGGTGCATTTGTGGGTAGTCTATTTTGGCGGTTATTTTACCGGAAGTCGTTTATTTGTTTGTTTGTTTATTTGGCTTAAATTATTTTGCTTGTTTTTATTCATTTTTTATTTTTATTTTTTATCTTATTTATTTATTTATTTTTTTACTTTTATTTTTATTTTAATCGGTGTTTTTATTAACGTAGTAAAAATTTGTTTATATCGCTTATTTAATAGTTTTGTTTTGGTTTGGGAAGATAATTAAAGCTATTTATTCAGTTTTGGGGTTGATTGGTGTAGTTTATTCTATTATTTTGGCGGAATGGTTTTTAATTTGTTTATTACTTCATGTATTTATTTGGATTAATTATCTTTATTTGTTTTTTCTAACGGTTGCTTTATCGGGGTCGGTTTGTTAGTTTATTTATTTGGATGAATTTAGGTCAAATTATTTTACTTGTTATTATTTATTTGTTATACTGTATATTTTCTCTTTTCGGTTTTCGATTGTTATGTAACGTAGTATTTATTTTTCTTTTATCGTTATATAACAGTCATAGCTATTTCTTCGTCCGATTTTTGGTTTGAATATTATAGTCTAACTAATATTTTGGTCATAATGGTTTGTTAATTTGTTAATCATTTACTTTATTTATTTGGGTTCATTGATTTTGTTCCTTATTTTTTATTCTATTTCGTCTATTCTAACAGGTGTGATTTGTTAATTTGTTTTGGTTAATTTATTTTGCTTATTTTATTGTCATTTTGTTTATTTATTTATTTTTATTTTATTTTTTCCATTTTCGATTTTTAATGATCTTTTGATTTTTATGAGTTTTCAATTCTTGTGCAGAGCGTTTGAGCAGTATATCGCATCAATCAGGTCAGTCAGCCCCACTTCTTAGAGACAAATAAATAAATATATATATATATATATATATATATATATATATATATATATATATATATATATATATATATGAAAAAAGATATGAAGGCTGACCAGAACACTACTGCGGTTTCGACCACTACGGTCTCCTGAACAAACCGTTCAGCAAAACAATCAAATGAAGACCGTAGTGGTCAAGACCGCGGTTGTGTTCTGGTCAGCATTAATATCTTTTTTTCAAAATATTAAACAGCTCTGCAAGTCTGGTCTTCCTACTTGATATTGAGCACTTTTAATGTATACGATCTTAACGAATATTTTACTGTTTGTTTACTCTGGTATATATATATATATATATATATATATATATATATATATATATATATATAGAGAGAGAGAGAGAGAGAGAGTTTTCAGGTATTCTATATTTATGTGTAAAACTGCGGAATATTAGAAGAAGGACGTAAAGTGGACACTGGGGTCAACACCGAGCGGCGACAATCTGTTTCGTGCATGAACGTAATCTTTATTCGTATCTGCATTTTGAAATAAGTTCTGATAAATTCTTATCCCGAAAGACAGACACGATAACAAATGTTTACTACATTACTTAAAAATCGAATACCTTATCAAAAACACTACGAAAAACCTATATATACGGATTATATATAACACAGGTAATGTTGCGTACTTTAGAAAATGCTAATACTTTAAACAAATAAGATTACGAATACCGGAAAATGATCAATAAAAATTAGAAAGAAAAAATGATTATAAATAAATAATCAACAAATTAACAATCTAAGAATGAATGCATAAACACATGTTTATTTAATAATAATAATAATAATAATAATAGTTAAGTAATCAATATTAAATAAGGAATAAAAGGCCAACAAACAACATAAGCAAATTTATAAAATAGCAACAAATAACTGCATTCTGATCCACGTTTATTTCTACTGAATATTCTATAGACTCATTTGAAACATAACTGTTACTGCTTACTAAATAACCATTAGTTTCTTTGAATATACGCTTTTTAGCGCTAGAGGGCGTCGTCAGTGATGTTTTGAATTGTGTCATTAGGCAGTTTCGGGTTTTTCAAACATCATACTCCCCTCACTAAGTCTCTGATGCGCCCCCACCCATTTAAATTAACAGCCTGCAGACACTGACTTATATTAGAATAATACAATAGATCTTATTACCGATAATGCATCATTGACCACCATATATAAATAGTCGAGCCTACATACAACATATATGGTTTGGAGATTGCTTTCAACCATGAAACAACTTGGTGTTAACCTCAGTGTCCATATATATATATATATTGTCGTTACTTGGAAATTTTCATGCAGCAAGGGCGCACTATCATTGTTGTTTTGACAGTTGTTGTTTGATTTATTGAAATTGTGATCTTTGATAATGGCTTGTGTAAGCCGAAAGCTTAGATTGGATTTAAACATGTATCAATATGGTGTTTTCCTTTCGTCTTTCAATGATAATGTTATTAAGCTTATCAGACAATATGAAAGGAACTTACTTAAAATAAATAGACAAAACTTGTCTATATTATTTAATGAAACATGCATTAATATATATACACACACACACACACACACGCGCGCACACACACACACACATATATATATATATAATTATTTAATCGAAAATTATAACATAAATATGTTATAAAATCACTACAAAAATAGCCATTTTGTTTCAACACTTCTGGTGTCTTATCAGGTAATGGTGTTGAATGTATTTGTTTGCTATTGTAATTTATTCCGTATACACAATGCTATACTATACCCAATAGTGAAAGAGCAAGTAAAGATCGAACCTATAGGATCAATTCTCTGCGGGAAGATCATTGATTTAAAGATAAATGACCTATTTCCAACGTCTGTGGCCTTATGCCAGACGATTAAGTAATAGCCAAAAGCGTGCTTTCTTTTCTAAGATATTGTTTAGTGAGTTGGTCTAGTAAGTGGTCACAATTTTGTCGGGTGTTTGATTCTCACTTAATGCACCTCATATGCAACATTGTGCTAAGCTGCTATAAAAAAATACAACTTGTCTCGTCATTGCTTTCGTAAAACGTTTCTTTCCCAACCTGGACAGGTGGAATTTATTATAAATGAATATAATGCAAAACTTCCAATATATATATACATATACATTTAATC